TTTTTTTTTTTTTTTTTTTTTTTTTTAGCCAATAGCTCTCTTCTTGAGGAAAAAAATACAGAGCTTGAAAATTAAAGCCCTTGATTAGTCTAGATCTGCCATATTATTTAAAAGTAAGTGTTTTCTGACCTCTTCAAGAGTTCATAGGCTCATAGAAAAGTAAGATTTTCTGCCATAACAAATTTATTGTAATATCCGAGAGTGATACATAATGCGAGATCAGAAGATTCACAATCATTGAGATATAAAGCAAGAATAAACCTTTCAAAATCATTAAGCCCACCACTATGATTTTATAAATGCAAAAATTGGGTTCCAGAGTGATCCAGTGACTTCTCTGAGACTAGCGTGGGGTCACCAATCTTGAAATTTTGACTTTTAGTCTGGGGCTTCATCTTCAGTAGACTTCTTATCCATAGTTTTCAGTGAGCACTTCTCTCCAGATTTATGATAGCTTTGTCAGTTATTTATCTGATAAATAAGTATTTGCAATGTGTGAGATTAGAAGAAATGAAGAATAGAAAGACCTAGTCTCAACACTTTCTCCCTTCGTGCAATAAACCCACACCATAAAGTCAATAACATGTGGGTCAACACATATCTAAGGAACAAGGGTAGCTTGTTATTACCAAAGATGACATCTTTGGAAAAGGGAAAATTTGCAATGTGCCTAATTCTTTTAAATTGAGATTTTCAGTGAATTCCAGTCAAGATGGTGGAATAGGTGGTCCCCAGCATCACTCTCTCCCACAAATCAACCAATTTACAACTATAAAAATGTAACATCAGCCAAGCTGGGGCTGTTGGAGCTCAGGGGAAGAGGAGGAGAGACCTATGGAGTTCATGAAGGTGGGAGAAACCACAAAGAGAGAAAGAAAAAAACTGCTCTGAGTGTTTCATGCCATGACTGCTTTTAGGGTCAAGCTGCTGAGTGCATGGAGCAGGAGCCGGCAGAAGCTGCAGCTGTACCCTTCAAATGGAGTTACTTGGAGGCAGCAGGGGAGAAGAGGGCCTTGGTGGCCCCCAGAACAGCAAGACCACTAATAGGGTTCCCACAGATCCATGCAGGAACAAGGAGCCAGGATAGCTGAAAAAGGGGAGCCATTCAGAGGCCAATGAGTCATCACAATGGACCGATGCAGGGCCCATCCCATGGGAAGTGTTTGGAGCATGGGCAGTTGGGGAGACAGGCCCACTGGGAGAACAGCAGGACAGCTGATCCAACCCCCAGTCAGCACAGGACCATTCAGAGGAGACTGGCTGGGAATGCATAATTTCATGGGGTACAGTTTGATGAGAAAACTCAGGCCCAGATCAGAGTTTCTACAAACCCAGGTGCACTGAGTCTCTAGAGAGCTGGAAGTACCTATAAGGTCAGCCATTAAAACCTGAGCTGCACAAAAAGCCTTCCCTAGGGAAAACAGCAGCAAAGCAGCAGTTTAGCTCCACCATACAGCTCAAGTATTAGTTCCCAAGGAAGTTTTCCTGAATTAGAAGTAAGCAAAGGACAAAATGTTACTTCTGGCCCAGGCACACCACCAGTGCCTTGGGGCCCACCAGGGGACATAAGGCATGGATCTGGGGACCAGACCCCCACCCACAACCACTCACACTGCCAGTGCCTTGGGGCCCACCCAGGGACCCGAGGTATTGAGCTGGAGACCAGACCAGCTCCATGTGTAGTAGGAGGAGGGTGGAGGAGGACTAAATATAGGACAGCAGAGTACAGAGGAGGAAACATTTTGGAATCAGGTAGTCCTGGCAAAGGATTTCAGCTCCTCTGCTTACTAGCCATGTGACCTTCAAAAAAAATTACTTAGCATTACCTACGTAGTTGTCATGAGGATTAAATGAAATTACAAATTATAAATGTAAAAAAGCCTAGCACAGTCCTTGGCACATAGTAGGTGCTCAATAATGCTCAATAATTTCTATTTCCTATAGTCTTTATGATTGTAATTTGACCCATAAACCATCCGCCACCTGTAGTGTGTTTGTAAGAGTCCCCATATCTGTCATGCTAGAGAACGAGGAAAGGATGTCATCCAGTGTCCACAACTAGCATGAATATCATGTGCTAAAATAATGTCTAATGATAATATTTTGTGAAACTCATTACAACTGTATGAACTTATAGATGGAATATAGCATTTCCAAGTTGGGTAAGATTATAATGACATTGTGATCTAGGAAAATTAGGGACTTGGAATGGAACTGTCAACTGAGGGACAGCTTTCAATGTTGAGAGATGTGGGGGACGCTGAAGAATAAGCCAAGATACATCTCCATTGCCTACCTCCTAAACCCCTCTAGTTATCTCCTCATTTCTATTGTCACTTACTTTTAGTTTACCTGGACTTTTGCCAAGATGTGAAATTGGCCTTTATGTCATCACTCTCAACACCATCCAATCCATCATCTATGAAGTCTCCAGAGGGATCTTTTAAAAATGTAAACCTGATTCTATACCTCTTTTGCTTGAAATGGCCCTTCATCATCCACAGGTTGAAGTTCAGTAACATTAGCATATTATTCAAGATTGTGTGTTAATTCCATCACACTCCAGACTCTTCCTATGTTCCAGTTGTACCTAGCAGCTCACTGTATCCCTCAATAAACCAAAGACACTCCAGTCTCTATACATTTATATGTGCTGTTTCCTCTTCCAGGGATATCCCACCATCACCACCTCCTGCTATTTTAGCTTGACTAACTTTTGCTACTCTTTAGTATACTTGGTCAAATTTTTTCTTTTCTCACCAGTCTTTCCTTACTTTCTCATCACCATAAGTATATGTTCTACTTATTCTCTCTCAAGAATCACATGGGCCTCTTAGACACAAAATTGTCATTGTTGACTTAGGGCTGTCTCAACCAAACAATGAAATTCTTGGTGTCAGGAAAGCATCTTTGTGCCCTCATCATCTGGCACAGCTTTAGCTTTCAAAAAATGTTAGTTTGTAGATTCATTGACAGGATTTTTATTGTTTTGATCAAATTAAAAGCTTTACAATTCTCAGACTTTGGTCAGAATAGATGACCACAGAAAGTAAAGTAGTAGTGGATACCTGCAACAGGTCTTGTTGGCAGTGGGAATGGGTGGGGAGACTGAGTCTTCTCCCCTAATATGGCATCCATTCTTTTGTGAAGTAGTAAGATAAAGAAAGGCCAATCATGAAATGTTAGTGCTTGAAGAGATCTGAGGAAATAAAATCCCAGTAAGCCTCGCTAGCAGGACAGGGAGGACCAGTGGCAGAGTTGGGTCCAGAACCCAGTTATCTTACTTCAGAATCCAGTATTCATTCATCTGCCTTTTTCACTAGAGTAGGACTTTTTTTTTTGGAAGCAAGCAAAATTTGCATGCCAAGTTCCCACCTAATTGGTCAGGCTGCAGAAATAGTTCTAACCTGGTGAGTCATGTCAGCACCTAGAGAGATTCTTCAGCTTCAATTAGGGTCTACTCAACACTTCCTAAAAAATAGCTTAGGGGCTGCAAGAAAGCCATTGACTCTGCTCTTTTGTATTTATCTCATTGGCATGTTCTCATGAAATGACCTTCTATTTTCCTCTCATTCTCCTTCCTTGCTTCAGAAAAAGAAACATCAGTATGACATATGGATGGGTTCCAACATCAGCCAGTGCATATATTAAAGTTTTAAATCAATTATTGTTCTAGTACACACCCTGAGGTTGAGAAAGAAAGAACATCCAGGACTAACAAAACTGATTGTTCTGGCAAAGTTGCCATTTGATTCATGCTGGCATTTCTGGGATTTTCTTTTTTCTTTAATATCTAAATTCATTTTTAAAAAGTTAATGGTTGAAGTAGCAATTTTTAACATTGTTATTTCATTCATTTCCTCTATGAGACTTTAACCTCCCAGTCTCTCGAGGCTTTCCCAAGGGGCATGATGCCCAGAGTTTGCTTACTTAGTTGCAGAGACAGCTGTCAGTCTGCTAGTGAGTTCATTAGACCGCGGATTATTCCTTACTTTACTACCTTCTGAGTAAGGGGGACATTCAGGCTTGGGAATATGAGCACTTCACAAGTTGGCATTCTTAGATCGAGAAAAAGACTTAATCATAACTGTTAAGAAACTGAATTCCAACTGTATATAACATGGGGAACTTTAACTTAACAACTGCTCTGAGTTGTAACTATACAAGTATTTTGATTACTACTGCTCTAACTGAAGTTCCTATAAAGTATGATGGATGTTTTTTCTAGGCAAGTACTGGAAGTCGGTAAGGATTGTGGCTGTGCCAAGGGGCTGTGCTCTGGCTGGCACTCAGTTGCAAGAGGAGACAGAGACTGTTTCTGCCTTGGCCTCCCTGACGGTGGATGTGGAACAGCCCATTGCTCAGGAAGACAGCAGGTAAGAATCCAATGTGAAGGAAACTTTCGGGTCAGTAACATCGAGGCTCATCACTGGCATTCGGGAACCTTCCTCCCGGGCTTTCCTTCACCTGCCTCCTCCACTTCCACCACCTGTTTTCTTCAGAGCCACAGATGCTACAGCACATGCTTCTAGTTGTCAAGAATTCCATTGTTTCCTTCTTCATGGGAAATGCAGAACTCAAGCATGTGGTTGCAGTTCACAGAAAAATGGGAGTGAGATAGATGGTGAGAAAAATCACTCCTTGTTGCATAATTTAGTGCAGATCATTATGGAAAGAGCTGCTCATGAGCTTGACTTCTTTCCCTAGTTATCTCTATTTTTCCAGATGTTCTTTTTTTTTCTCTCATCATTTTGAAATTACTGATTATAACAAAGTGAAAAGAGGAGAATAGACGCTGGAGGTAAGGCTAGTCAGTTGGATTGCCAAAATGGATATCAGTTCATTATGCAAATGTCCTTGAAGTCCAATGGCTAGAGAAACATGGGAGTTGCCGGCAAAGGAGACAAGAGTGTGTGTAGAGGACTGTGTGGACTTGAGTCTGATTTTCTTCGATGTTATGATAAGATGGAATTGATCAGGTTAGGCTAACCTCAGATTGGGTTTGCTTGTTCTTTTGTAGGGAATGTGTCCTGGTTTGTGCATTTTTGTGTTCATCACTCTATTCTATGGACAATGCTACATTCAGGATTTCTTTGAAGTCTACTGTGACCAAAGCCACCACAAATGTACATTAACATTGGTGCTTTCTATGGCTGAATTCAAGGTCATATTTCCTCAATTTAAAAATGAATCAGGTGAGGCTTTGCTAAAGCTCTGCCAACTTGCACTCTTGAATTGCTTCTGAGAAGGAAATCGGACTCCCTCCGTCAATAACATCACCATTAATTATACAGATCCTGCTACTAGTGCATAGGTTGGCAATTTTCCCAAGAATGCACACATTTGAACAGCTCTAGCTTTCTTGTTTTTACTGGATACTCAGAGTTTAATGGATTTAACATCTTGTTTTGGCCAAGAGCAGGAGATAAACTGAATAAGAGATTTCATTTTTATGCAATTATTTTCTTTTCCTATAACCACTTAAAGAGCAGATTACCAGTAGGAAAAAATAGTTGTGCATTACTGTATTGGAAGGCATCCTTATATGGATATCTGGAGCATAAGGGAAAACTTATTTTACATCTTTGATAATAAGAACTAACCCCCTGCCGTTCCCTGCTAAGAACTGAACCAAGTTCATAATCCAAAGGTGTTGCAATTATTCCCGAGGCCAGAAACAGTTAGTTGCCTGTCATCTGAGGGCCATAAAACTGAGGAAACTAACATCTGTTAGTGGTGGATATAAAAGGAACATAGCTATTCTTTAGAATTAATTTAATATGGGAAAACGAAGCTAAATTCCAACCTGAGCAAAATGAAATGCAAGTAATTTTTGCCCAGTAAATGGCAGAGCTTAGAATAGTTAACAACAATAAGGGATGTTATGAGCCCCAAGTAATATAAAAATATCAGCATATTGGCAGAAATAAGTTCTATAGGCGCACTTGTTTATCCTCAGGTAAATAGTGTGCTTGACTCCTGATAGTCTGCAGGTATTTAAGAGCAGATTCAGTCCACGATGATTTTTAAGCCCCATCTGATGGCAGAGAGAGAATGTGAATGCAAGTGTTCTGAGGAGCAGGAAAGAAAAGTT